CAAACTCATCCACCTAAAGAAGCAATGAGATTCAGATACCTAGGCATCACCTCCTCTCTCAGGTTTCCACCTCCCTGCTTAAGCTTTCGCCATAAGGCACTTATAGAAACTTTCTAAATGTCTCCTTTATCTATAGGGAGTGGTCCGTGACAACCAAGTTTGTACTACTTCCTCCTGTACAGATAATCTGGAATAGATCTGACATACAACCTAAGTTTGGCTAATGAGATTAAAGCTTCCAAGAGGTTGAAATTGAGACTTTTAAAACAAAGTTAGTTTTGACAGGTGTCTTAAACAAAGAATAGCTAAACCCTAGAAATGGAGACAATCTGCTACCCTGTGAACCTAGAAGAGAAAACCAATATAAAGAGAAACAGATAAAGCAGACAGACAGACAGACAGAGATGCTTTTTTTTCCTTGTAGGTTTTTATTTCTTAGGACCAGTTCTTTCTTTATACCCGTTTCTGTTCTGCTATGGGGTTTCCTGATGCACATTCACAAATTCCTCATTTTAGCTGAATTAAGCAAGTTTTAGTTGACTTCTCAAGTTGGTTGGCTATATACAATCAAACAATTCCAATTAACATGCCACTGTGCTTGACCTGCCCTGACATGAGTTCAACTACAGGGCAAGGGAGTAGGGAGATAGCTCTGAAATTCTATCCAACACTTTCTTTATGATAAATACGGTTCTCATAGTAATAGAAACACCTTTGATTCTATACAAGATGTACAGAATTAATATTATATTGCCTATAGATCAGTCTGGAGTAACGAATTGACAAGTTCCTAAAATATCTGACCTCCTTTTCTCTCTATTTTTGGATAAATCTTAGGGTTTAAAAATTATAGAAATAACATTTTGTTCAGATAGCAGCAATAACAGTAACCCTAAAAAGAAAATCTGTTTCCCTCTGGCTTCCCAAGCAGATAGAAGATGTTAAGAAAACCTGCAAGGGAAACATCAGTGATTCTGGATGCACTGTGATTCAGAATGTGCTTAAAATACAGATGCAGAAGATGGTTCAGGTACCTTTTCTCAGTGACTTGAAAAAATCAGTTTCAGTGATTGCATTCAATTAAACCACCATTGTAGCTTATGTCTTTGATGCCAATTAGTACTCTACAGTTCAGCAGTTTGACTGAATCCAGCTTTAGTTATTTTTTATGAAATAATTTTGGCCTGAAATACTAGCTGTTTATCACTCTAAATTTGAATATATTCTTTGCTTTGTCAATTAGATGATACACTGGAAGAAGCACAATCTTTTAAATATCTTTAAACCATTGCTTAAGTAAGCATACCACACACCTGGTTACAATGTGAGCAAGATTAAATTTTAACAAACCAACAGTTCTCTTTAATTTTATACCAATCATCTGATGAGCTTCCAGTGCCTGGCTACTTCACCTCCTGCTCCTATAAACTGGAAGCAGAATCTTCCTCCACACCGATAACATGGTTTTACTATCTCAAACTAAAAAGGAGCATACAAAGAAATGTATCCTGGTATCTAATTATGTCAAAAAGAACTAATTTAACAACAATTTTATCTATACAAAAATTATACTTTGGGATAGCCACTATTCAATTTTAAATGGGCATTACTAAGTAATTCCATCAAATGGGTCAATTTTTTTAATTCCTTGAGAGTACATTTTGTAGTTCACTGATCCTGGCAGACAATCGAGAAGGCCACACTGTACAAACTTGGCAGTTGTCTTATAAAACTCATTATTTGACAACTGGCAATAGCTAGGCTAAAAACCTTCTAATATATACTATTTTTTGTTATGTACAATAAGCAGCTCTGGTTCTAGTCAAGCACATCTGGGTTCTTCAGAAAATTAAAAATTGGTCCTGGGCAAACCTTGTTTTGGCCAATGTCTTCCTTGCACTTTTGGTGTTAGGGAGGTGGGACAGCTGTCCCACCAGGTGAGAACACTGACTATAACCAACATAACCAACTCATCTGGTTTCCAATTAACAACATAACATAGCTGTTTTCTAGGTTCCTAACAGCTAACAAAAGCTCCAAAACTCTACTTCCACCTGCTATTAATTCCCTGCAAAGAGCAATGATATGTATGTAAGTCTGTAGATTGTATGTGTGCTTCATAGAGCCACTGGGACTCTTCAAGGTACTTCCGTGACCAGTAAGCAAGACTAAGGAAGTAGACCGGCCAGAGCTATGCCAATCCCTTCAAGCCAACAGCTCTTGTTTTTTAACAGATTGAAATGTTAGATTTCTGAGTAGGATATTTTTGAAGATACAGTCTTAAAACTAGAGTATAAGGGAGATGTTCTTCATTTATTCTTCAGAGTATGGTACATCCCCATATCATCAGGGCTCCAAAGAGTTATAAATCTAAATCAAGGATGATTATCTTCCTCCTCAAAAACATCCTTAATGAAATATACTTTCAGTGTTATGAGAGTTACATCATTTTTTAACTTTGATTGTGGGTACAAATGCAAAACAGCCAGAGAAGACTTCTGCTGTTGCTGTAAAATTTTGTTAAATAACATTGCTCATTTGGCTGTCAAAGTAGCATATGACACCTTTCTTTTGGAAATAATTTCCAAGAAAATTTGTTCTCTCTTGAAGAATAGGTAGGCTTGCTTCTATCATATAATGAAAATTATAAATCACATTATCGGTCCCTTTATGCTTTGATTGCTTAAGAAGCTCAAAGTTAATGATTTCATGTTTTATTCTGCTTACCATATTTGTTTCTTCCTCCTTTAGTAGTTTTGATGGTGTACTTCTATTTGAACAGCTCTGTGTGTCATTTTTCTCATAAACAGAATGAACATTAATAGATAAGTCAATAATAAAATTAAAATGTGATGAATATCCTGGAAATTACTGAAAATCAACAGAATTATGTATTCTATGATCATTTGCTTATCTTCAGGTCTCTTATCCTGTATTATCAGCTACTGGAACACAATCAAGTCTCAAGCCCAGCAAAATCAATCTCCAAAGAGCTCAAAGAGATTGCCTTTTAAGTTCATATACTAAGATTTATTTATTTTCCATAACCCTCATCTGAGATATACGTAACCTTGTATTAGACACAGTTCTATTATGCTCCAATAGGTTCTTGTTGCTTTCAAGATGAAGAATAAACCTTAATAATGGCCTATAAGACCTCACATGGTCTACACGGCCCAGCCTATTGCTCTACCCTTATCTGAGACACCTACTCCCTTCAGATTTCATCTGCTCCTAAATCCCTATATTAGGGAAATGTTCACTATTATAAACTCTAAAACCAGAATATCTCCCTTTTCAGCACTCATTGCAGATTACATAATTATATTTTTGTTTGCTTATTTGATTAATACCTAAGTTCTCCAGGAAACTCTAAGTGCCATGAACGTTTTGTCTATTGTCCCCAGTAATGTATCATCGGCACCTGTCCTAAAAACAAGCACAGCAACAGCATCAGAAACACTTTGATAATGAGAAAAAAAAAAATCCACTGTAAAAAGTGGACAGAGCTCAAAGATCATTCATTGGAGTCTAGAGGCAAATCCTCTTAATAGCCATTACATTAAGATATTCTTTAACCGTCTTTCATAGGATCATTATATTACAGGATGGTATAATAATTATAATAATTGATGTCATCAAGGAAGGGTTAGGTTTTGATCTATGGTTAAGATGAAAGACAAATGCCTTTAAAATGCTTTCTTTAGTGCTTCTTTAAAAGACTTCCCTGTCTTCGGAGGTGAGCTTCAGTTCTATGGAAACTTCACTTATCTGCGTTATTCTTCCCACCTCTTAACTAGCAATACTAGATAAAGGAAGAGTTCCCCAACCTCACGTTATCGTAAACAACCTTGTATTGTAACATTCCTCTTTTGGTCAATTTCATAATTGCATAAAAATTATTTTCAAACTCCTGTTAGTATTCATATTCCCAACAAAAGGATTAATGTTATGTAATGCTTCACAAATATTCTGCCACAGACAATGTGTATTGAATTTAAACCAAATTCTGTCTTAGGTTGCCTTTAAAGGAAAAATGCAAAAAATGCAAAAAAAAAAAAAAAAAAAAAAAAAAAAAAAAAGAAGTTTCCACTTGAATTCTAAATTGAAGATGACCTTGTGCTTTTCTGAGAAACGCTGGCAGCTGAGGTCACTGGAGTGTGTTATGATAGACGGTGCAGTGCTGTGTGTGTCTCAAGGCATGTTCATTGTATGGATTAAAGCCAAACCAAAAGTATTAGGCAGCTCAGAGCATTCTATCATTTCATTTGAAAATAATGATCAAAGTCGTGGGCAACAACCATTGCAACTCTCATGAAAGAATGGCAGCATTCAATAATTCCATCACTTCAGACAGACAGTTGGGCTATTCTCAATCAAATACTATGAATCCAGTATATTCTGTGTCAGTTTCTTGTGGCAATCACAGAAACAACATTTCTGCTTTTACAGTATAAAAATCCTGTCTACATTGTGTGCATCCCTTAGCTTCCAAATGACTGAGTCATTGAGAAAAATACAAGGAAATGGAAAACACAGAAACTGAACCCTCTTTGAGTATAAATATATAGCAACCCAAATCAGCCATTTTCTTCAAGTCAGCTTACTGTTTCAAAAGCTTAAAATCCATTTCGAAACAAAATGTCTACAATCTCTTCTCTAATAACAGCATGAACAAAACACTTTCAAAGAAATATAATCTAGTGCCAATGGTTTTCAAGCCTTCTAAGTGATCTCTTCAATAGTGATATTTAACTAGAACATTTTGATTGATAGAGGCTTATTTTAAACTTTTGCTTCCTTCACGCATAGATTAATGGTAGCATAAAAATATGTTTGAGATGTAAAAGCAGGTGGAAAAACTCACACTTTCGATCAAAGAAGAGAACTGCTTCTAATCCTGTGTTTTCCACTTTGCCTGGGTATCTTCTATATATAGGAGGAAAAACATACCCTGTTGCTTTTGAAGTATTTAGACACACACACACGTTGTAACTTACCATTAAAATTTACAGCCCGAATATAACCAAGTAGCTCTTTCCCATCAATGGTACTCATTCGTGGACAAAGGCCAATGTATCCAGGGCAGAGATCTTTGTGCATATTGTGCAGGGCGTAAGCCATGGAATATACTGCATCAATTACAAACTGGACCTTTCCTTCCTGTTCATAAGATGAATCCCGAGCAATTCGCTCCAGCCCTGCAAAATAAAAAAGTAAAAACCATCAGCTGACGTTAGATTCCAAGAAAAGACGGCATTAGAGCTAAGATTTCCATCATTTGAGGACACTTAATGAGACACAACTATTTGATTTCACTTCTGATTAATTCTATACTTACTGAGTCAGGTTTTTAAACTGGATATTGAGTTTATTTGGAAAGAGTAAAACTATTTCATTAGCAACAAAAAGATATAAAGTAAATAAAAGATGTATAGTTTCATTATCGTTATTTCCACCTTATTGAGTCCTATTATATTGTGCATTCTAGTAATTACATAACGCTTTGGTAGTGGCTTGATCTTTTATGTAAAATGTGTAGTGTGTCATTCTTGCCATCTATCTCAGCTCCAGGAGTGTCATTTAATTAGTGGCCCAAAGCAAGGTCTTTCACCACCCACCAAATCAGTTATAATTTTTAATGTGCTCTATTTGCGAGCCTTTTTGTAACTATTACATGACAATACTCCCTTAAGTGACCCTAGTTATCTTTATAATAATCATTCAATTTGTTTTCTCTTTGAACTCAATTTTCTATTTAGAATTTCTATTAAAAAGATGCAGACACCTCAAAATGAATGTCACTCAGAATAAACGTACCTGTATTGGGGCATATTTAGGGCTGATAATTGGCACTGGAGATTACTTTTAGGTTGGTGTTTATAATTTAATATAGAATAGATATATATTTTAAATGAAATATAAATGAGAGCTCAACTATGATCCAACATTATCGTTTTGAAAGCGAGGAAACTGAGACTCATGGAGGTTATAATTACATGGGGTACATAGGGCAGGTTTGGGAAGCATTCGTAGGTCTCAGACTGCAAGTCCAATATTCTCTCAATCCCCAGAAAAGTTTGGTAGATGGCAAGAATGCTGGGCATGCAAGAAAAAATTATGAAAGGGACATCAAGAGTTTATTAAGGGAACAAAAAATGATCTCCTATCACTTCTACATCCATCACCAACCCTTACACAACTGGTAACACTTAGACAAAAGCAAGTATTTTAAACTTTCCATGGATGTTACTAACCTTGAATAAATTGTACTTATGTTCAACACGTATTTGTTTTCTAAACACCAGTGCATATAACCTATATATTTAGAGAGTTGAATTAAAGTGGTTTATATTTGGATATTTACACTCTGAAAAACTTGTGGTTTTTTCCCTAAACAAAAATAGTGGTCAGTTTATTTTTATTCATCCAATTATTGTTTTTGTTTTTCCTTTGGTCTTAATCACTTGTGACACTGTTCTTTTAGATGCTCTTGGTTGGTATTCTGGTCTCTGTGGTCTGTCATGATGCTGAATTCTGCTCCTCCCTGTTTGGCATGGGTTTTCTGATTTTCTCATGTCTCAACTTTTCATTCTCCAAGGTTGAGTTTCTTCATCCCCAACCTCAGAATCTGCTCATTGTCAATTTTGTCAACTACTAAAATTCCTACAGTCTAGAAATATAAATGGGAATATAAAATGTTGGCTACAGAGTCCAGAACATTAGATCAATTTTTAATAATTAGTTTAATTCATTTTGGAAGTTAGCTTTTTGGAAAATTAGTTTTCTAAATCTTTCTTGCTGTCTAAGTGTATAGTCCCATATTTCCAATGGCCTACCATATCTCTATGTAGTCTGCTGCTGCCATATCAAACAATATATGTAAAACGAGGCTATCTCTGTAGGGGATTCCCTAAAATATCCTACTGATATCTTGCAAGTTTGCGAGCACAAAGAGACAGGGAAGACTACTTCTCAAAAGGTATATTGTCTCCTTCAACCTACCTTAGCTGCATGATCTAAGCTAAGATCCACAAGACATGGGGACTATGTTCTCTCCATATCTTTAGGTTATACTTTTGTCTCCTGAGTCTTAGGACAACACTGCTTGTTCCCAGAATCTCTCATCAAGTTTCCTGTGAAAACAACCCTTTCCACTTCTGCCTAAAATTTCTCTCCCATGGCTTTAACCACGAAGTAGAGCATTCATAAATAAATATTGAAAGATGGTTACAGCAACCAAATAGATGCTGTTATTTCCTTATAGATTCTAGTCTGGTGACTAGCCACTCTTGTTAGTCCAGGACTGAGGGGGTTCTCAGGACCTAGGACCAAAATGTGAAAAGCCCTGGAAAAACCAGGATAGTTGCTGATGAAAAAAGAGGGAAATGACGAGGAAATTTCAGAGAGAAGACTAAATAACGACTTTGAGGATCAGTCCCTAGGTCTGGATGGATATCCCTGTGTTTCATTTATTTTGCATCACTGCACTTGAAAACAGAAAATGAAGACAATGAGGTTCAGGGCAGTTGTTTCCACACTTGGTTCTCTCCTTAAGTACAGATTTCTCAGTACCACCCCGGACTTGCTGGGTCAGAATCTTCCTACCTGGGACATGAAGGATCTGTCATTTCAACAACTCACCAGGAGATTCTGGTGCAACCAGCTAAGTCTGTGGGCCAGCTTTAGGAAATTTCTGCTCTTCCATACAACAATCTTCAAAAATACCTCTATAGATCTATTGTTTAGAGAATTTTATGGTATTGAAGTATGAAAATAATAATTCTTTCATGATATGCACAACCCAAAGAAAATCTAATCAAATTATTTCCCTTTTCTCACTAGATGAAGAGTCAAAGAACACAATTCCCAATATTTATGCATTTCAAAGCTTCCACCATGTCCTTAGACACACAGGGAGGCCTGGAGCTGATGACAAGGGTAGAAGCCAGAAAGACACGAAAGATCTATAAATGAGAAAGTGTAACAAATTGAATGTGTTCCTCATGAGAGGGTGGAAACAGAAAATAGAAAGCAGTAGGGAGAAAAAGATACAGAGAGGAGGGAAAGGAGGATGGAGCAACACAGAGAAAGGCTTGCACCCAAGGTACAATAATGGCAGAGGGAAATCTAACATTCCAGGTTGTTTGTATTGCTGCTTTGTAAATCCCTCTGCTGCAGACATACATACACACACACATACACACACACACACACACACACACACACACCCCTCACACACCTCTTCTGTAAATATTATTGGCTTTTAATCTATTTTTTTAATTTTGTGGGCTTTAAAGAAAAGGGAGGATTTCCATATTTCCATTACTGCAGGGTGAAGGGTGGAGAGTGGGCATAGAACTGGCAGAAAATGCCTAAGCCAAATGTCTTCAAATGAAGTAATGACCACAAGAACATTAAGGAATTTGGAATTTTTTTTAAACCTATGAAATTCATGTAACAGCTAGACAGGTGTGACAGTTTCATAGTTTTAAACTTAATCTATCCTAAAATGTTCTTGATTTAATATATTATCATTTTATTTTAGTGCCAGTGTAACCTCAATATATTATTTTACTTTATTTTACATATTATCAATTTAATATATTATCATTGTATTTTAATGCCAGTGCAACCTCCCTGTCAATCCATAGAGATACTCCTCAGTGTTCAAGAATTTCCTGATAAATTGTAATTGACATGCTCCAATTTAATAGATACACTCTTCCTCAGCATATCTTAAAGAATAAACAGTCTGGTGTGGTGGCTCACAGCTGTAGGAGGATTGCTTGATGTCAGGAGTTCAAGACCAGCCTGGGCAGCATAGTGAGACCCTGTCCCTACCAAAAAATCAAACTAAAAATTCAACTTTATATACAATAGGTCTAAATGAATAATCAGATACACATAATCTTATTAAAGAAACATATTTAAATTTTCACGATTCAAATCATTTTCTCTAGTTATAAACTCCAATTATTTTGACTGTTGATTACATATATTCCAACTTTGTACATTTTTGTTCTTTTAAAGAGTTCAGAAGTCTGCCTAGTAACTGGTACCACATGTGAATCAATGAACACTGTAAAACTCTCCCCATAAATCAATGTAAGCATATGGTGACAAACTGAAAGACTGAACACTATTACCATTTCTAAACTTAAAAGTGAATCATTTGATTTCTTTTCAGGCTGTTTAGACAACGTAGTTTTCTATTCCTTAACACTTCAACCTCATGATGACACTTAAGATTTTACAGCAGCTAGAATTTGCTCCTCACTTCCTATATTTGATTCTCTCATTCATCTAAAAGGGGAGTTTAGGAAGCTGACAGTGACTCATCAACCTAATTGGCTGTAAAATTTCATTATGCTATAGTTTCTAAAGTTAGTGTTAACGTATTGCTATAAAGTGCTAAATATTGTCAAAGGCTGTATGTCAGCTAACCATTTTAAATATCACCGATTGTAGAGTTGTGATGTGTTCTAGTGTATAGCTTAAAATTAACAGCATAGAGCAAAGTGTTTGCATGGTGAGACACGAATTGAGCCTCCTAAATTTTATAGGAAGATTGTTTTACATCTTCATTAATGAAATCTAAATCTTGTGATTAGATCTCAGGTTCCCAGAAAATAATAAATTTTTACTCGTCTAAGAAATAAGCACACGTACTTTAGTTAAGGTCTTTCACACTTTGTGGTGTATATTCTTGGGTTTTGTTCCTTTTCAGTTAAAAAAAAAAAAGGCAAATTGGCTTAAGTTGGCAAAACATTGTATATGTTACAATGTAAGTTCCTAAGATGAGTCTAAGAGAAATTTCAGACTCTTTGATGCATTGTGGTTGCAAAGCATTGCTTTCTAAGAGTTTCCCATTTCTCAGGATAGAGTTCAGTTTTCTAAGCTAAAATGTCAGAGGGCTAATTTAATTGTCCTGAAATTAGGCATATAAAACTTCTAACACCAATGCAATGATAGTCCAATAAGCAGTTGGTCAATCCAAGTAAAAAACAAATGGAAGTCATACCAGTTGCTTAATTCCTGGGAAATCAAACATCTGATTTGTTGCCTTTTTCTTACAACCGTCTCAGCTTGGAGTATAAATAATCCAACAATCTAAATTTGTAGATTAAGAAGTATTTGTTAAAGTTTCTCCCTGAATTTTTCTGAATTATGAAGCAACTATTTTAAATAATTAAGTCAG